TCTCTCTCTCTCTCTCTCTCTCTCTCTCTCTCTCTCTCTCTCTCTCTCTCTCTCTCTCTCTCGCCCGTTGCCTTTTGTGCAGGTACACGGCACCTTCTTCTGCAGCGCAGCTATGGCGGACTTCCTTCTCCGATGGTGCACCTCGGCTATGGCGCCTCACTGGCACGCGACTCCTTCCCTATCAGCAACGAATACGACGCGTGGGGTAACGGGAACCAGATCCGATACCAATGCAATCAGACTCGCTTTCACTTCCACTTCACATACATGCAAACAGATGGGGATTCACACTGGCGCAGGGCGCCCACTCAAAGCTTAAAGATATGGAAATCAAGAACACAATTCAGATGCAAGTTCACTTCAACAGGCGATGGCGCATCGGCACCTGAACATCCCAACCAACCTTCGTCACTGTGTCCAACCCCACTGTTCACACACGCTCACTCTGGATCACCCTGATTACCACCACACACACACGCTTAGTCTTACTTCCTCCTACAGCGGCTATGGCCGCACTACCACTACTGACTATAGCTACGATCTCCCTTCAGCCCACTTCATCTTCGGGCAACCTGCAGACCACCTTCGCACAAGACGCTGTAGCAGCGCTTCCGCATGGCTTACGCAGCGAATGAATGAATGGCTGGACGCTGCTTCCTGATTTATACTTCTGTTCGTGGCTGGTCTGCCCTTTTCCACCGGGGCCTTGGTGCACACAGTCCCACATGGTACTAGCTGACTGGACTAGGGGAGACTGGGACTGGGTACCGCTGACTGCATGGGATGGTACCGCCAACTTAGTGCAGTCGCACTGCTGACTCGGTGCAGTGGGTTTACCACTTGCCCACTTGCCTCTGGTCTGCTGTGGGCAATCTTCGAAAGGCCACTTCCGGGCCTTCCGGGAGGCTGTGGACTTGGCCTTTCGAAACTGTAGCAGCTACGACCTTGACCTTTCAAGAATGTAGCAGCTATGACCTTGACCCTTCAGGACTCCTACAGCTACAACCTCTACTATAAACTTTGACCCCTACGCGACAGATCTACGGTTCAAGACCAGACGGACACCCAGGTCTACGACAGGCTACTACTGGCTCCCAAAACACAGGTTACGGATTCAAACACACACAGGGGTACTGTACACAGGTAGTGCGGTCTAGGGATCGAGCCCTGGGATCTACATCCGCTACTGCAAAAGGGTGAAAACCGTTTCACAAGAGGTGATGAGTTGGTCCACAGAAACGCACCTTTATTCTACCAGTCCACCCAGAAGGGTGCCGGTGAGTCCACAGAGGTGGACAATGGACTCCACCGTCTGTTTGTTTACCTTTTTGTTTCGTAATGTTTCCTTCTGATTTCTCTATTTATAGTGCTACAAACTCTTTTTCTTTTTTTCACAAATTCAACTTATCAATTCCCATTGTTGTTTCATTAAACCACCAGTACCTTTCCCATATGTCGGGCGCAGACACTGCGCACCGGCCCGAAAATCAAGACGGACCGTCGATTCAATTTATTGGCGGCCGCCGATTCAATTTATTGGCGGCCGCCCTTCCGTTTCATGCCAGAGCATTACCCGGCACACCTCTACAAAATAGCTGGGAAAGGTACTGGTGGTTTAAGTTTCTGAAACTTGGTCCTTCAATAAGAGCTATTCCTTGATTCCACAAGGGAGGTATAAAGCTATCGGATTTTATTTTTATTATCTGCCGAAAAATAAAAGAAGGGTGAGGCTGTTGAGGGGGGAAAAAACATACACAGCTATCCCCAGATGAGGGGAAGACAGCTTTAAAAAAAAAAAAAAAAAAGGAAAGAAAGAAAGACAAAAAAGAAGAAGAAAAAGGGTAAGGTTGTTGAGAAAAGGTCACAACAGGAGGTTGAACCAGCACTGCCTCCAGATGTGACCTGCCCAGCCTACCATGGCCCAGCCCACCATACCAGTTACTGGCAGTTCAAGAGGGGAAAACCCGAACCTGTCGTAATTACTAGAAAAGGAAAAAGGGTGGTCTTCAGATGTTTTTTGTTTTTAAACCACCGGTATCTTTCCCCGCTTGAAAAAAAAACATGCAGCTCGTACACGGACGCACTTTCCAGGGTCAGGATACCGGACCAAAATGGCTGGCGGCACCAGCCATAATGAGGCCCTTGCTGGTTTGTTTTTTCTGGGGGCGCACAGGGCATTTTCAGGCTCGGCTTTAATAGCTGGGCGAGGTACTGGCGGTTTACGCCACCAGTACGTTTCCCATACATCGGCCGCGGGCGGGAATTCGAGGCCAAAACGAAAAACGGGCTGCCCATGACATTTATCAACGGCGGCCCTTTCCCTGTTGGCTTCCGAATATATCGGTGCATTTGTGCAAAATGGTTGGGAAACGTACTGGTGGTTTAAACCATCAGTTCAGCCAAGCCTCTTTGCACACAGACGCCTTTCGAGGCTTCCAGCAAGCCTTGAACTGCGCTGTTTCATAATGGCGTGCACAGGACACTACCGGCCCACACCCGAAGCGGTATGTCCTTACCACGTACATACTGGAAAGAGCCCAACTTTGCTTTGGGTAAACCGGTGTCACTACCAGCCCAAGGCCAAAGCGGTACCCCTTTACACCGGTAAGAGCCCGACTTAGCTTTGGGTGAACTGGCGTCACTACTGGCGCAGGCCTGAAGCCCTATGCCCTTACCCCGTACACCGGAAAGAGCCCGACTTCGGTTCGGGTGAACGGGTGCTTCAACGAGGCCTCTACATCCCTATGCCCTTACCCCGAACACCTGAAAGAGGCCGACTTAGGTTCGGGTGAACGGGTGCTTTAACGAGGCCCCTACCTCCCTATGCCCTTATCCCATACACCAGAAAGAGCCCGACTTTGGTTTGGGTGAGCGGGTGCTTTAACGAGGCCCCTACCTCCCTATGCCCTTACCCCGTACACCGAAAAGAGCCCGACTTAGGTTCGAGTGAAAGGGTGCTTTGACGAGGCCCCTACCTCCCTGTGCCCTTACCCCGTACACCGGAAAGAGCCCGGCTAAGGTTCGGGTGAACGGGTGCTTTAATGAGGCCCCTACCTCCCAATGCCCTTACCCCGTACATCGGAAAGAGCCCGACTTTGGTTCGGGTGAACGGGTGCATTAACATGGCCCCTACCTCCCTATGCCCTTACCCCGTACACCGAAAAGAGCCTAACTTAGGTTTGGGTGAACGGGTGCTTTAACGAGGCCCCTACCTCCCTATGCCCTTACCCAGTACACCGGAAAGAGCCCAACTTACGTTCGGGTGAACGGGTGCTTTAGAGGCCCCTACCTCCCTATGCCCTTACCTCGTACATCGGAAAGAGCCCGACTTAGGTTCGTATGAACGGGTGCTTTAACAAGGCCCCTACCTCACTATGCCCTTACCCCGTACACCGGAGAGAGGCCGACTTAGGTTCGGGTGAACGGGTGCTTTAACGTGGCCCCTACCTCCATATGCCCTCACACCGTGCACCAGAAAGAGCCCGGCTTAGGTTCTGGTGAACGGGTGCTTTAAAGGGGCCCCTACCTCCCTATGCTTTTACCCCATACACCGGAAAGAGCCCAACTTAGGTTCAGGTGAACGGCTGCTTTGACGAGGCCCCTACCTCCCTATGCCCTTACCCCGTACACCGGAATGAGCCTGACTTAGGTTCGGGTGGACAGGTGCTTTAGTAAGTCCCCTACCTCCCTGCCAGGGATGACAGCACTCACAGAAGCCTACCCAGAGCACAGCAAATGATGCCAATTATGGCGATGCAATTGCCTTTCCTCTTTTCCCCTTTCTTTCTTTTTTTTCCCTCCATTTGTCATCACTGAAAATGGGTTGTGTGTGGTGTGTGGGAGAGTGTTGGCCATAGCCAATGCTGCTACTCGATTGGGGGTGGGGGAAGTAGATGGGAGGCGCAGCCACCGCCAATTACGGCGGGGGCCAGCATGCATCCCCTTGATTGTGACAGGTAGCTATGCTTGTCGGGGTTCACTCTATAGGTTTAGGAGTAGTGGTAGTTAGATAGTGAAAGGTGAAATTGAAAATTAAAAAAAAAACTAGATGACCTGTTGCGGCTTCGCTCGCAAAAGCAAATGCATCAGGTGATGCACGACGGGGGGAGGCAACCGACCGATTGAAACTCTCTCTAACTCTCTCTCTCTCTCTCTCTCTCTCTCTCTCTCTCTCTCTCTCTCTCT